TATCTGTTTAAGAGCCAGACATCTAGACATTTACTAAATCATCACAACAAAAACAACAATAAACTGCGCTTTAAGTGATTAAGTCGGACAATAAACAAGGCCCAGACGCCGACTTTGACGCCCTTTTACCGCAAGAAAAACAACACAGAGAAAGGTTCCTCTATTGGCCGTTTGCCTTTTGACCCGTTTAATTTATGCGGGCGAACGAGCGCCGAGTGGCTTAGCAGCAGCAACAACAACAACAACAACAGCAATGGCAATGATAAGCAAGAAGAACTACGCGAACGTTTCGATAATTCCAAAGGCGATTACATTAATGGTGATTGGCTTTATGCTTAACGGCAACAACAACAACAGGAACAGGAACAGCAACAGAGCCCATTTAGCGGTGGCAGCAACAACAATGACACCGACAGCAACTTTGTCCATCTCTAAATGCGCTTTGAAGCATACTATACAACAACAGTGTGGGCATAACTACACTGAGAAAAAAAGCAGACATAGGCAGAATGCAATTGGCATCTGTTTCAGGTTGAATAAAATAATAATAATACCCGCTTGTATGGGTGTATGGATGACTTATAAGTTATAAGCTCAGAATTCTTAGAAATAAGGAGCGCTGCTTACAGATGAATGCATATTTGAAGTAATAAAATTTTGTATATAAATATATTTAAAAGATTCTCAAGAACTATCTTTTGATATCTAGAAACTATTATTTAGACAATACTGTGTACGAATATTGTTTTATGATTTATTTTGAATAAAATTTTTAAGGAGTAGGCTTAGGGTATAGAAGAGTTGCGCCTGTTTAACTCTGGCTTTGCATTCTTAAAGCTAAAAGCTCTTTTGAAGTTGTGAAACAAGTTTTGTCAGAACTTTCTAATGAGATGATGCTTACGAATTATTAAAAAAGAATACTTCTGGTATCTTTTCATATCAATATCATATCATATTGATCATATGCATGAAATAAGCCGCGTTCTTTCTGTATCTGTTATAATATCAAGTATGTCTATTGCGAAAACATGCGAGTACATATGTATTATTTGAACCGTTTAAATAATGACCAAAGAGAGCTGATTAATGACTTCCTAAATGCTTAGAATTTAGAATTTGCACAAAATAGACCGTACATTTGGTGCTTTGAATATCAAGTGTATCCGGTATCAAGTATCCCATTCCCTGTGGGACCTACATTAATTTCTTTTAATGATTAAATACGACATAGTGCTGCACCTTAATGCGAGTATCTTTAAATTAAAAAGAAATTAAAGCATCAATTCGAATTTTGTCAGACTCATTAAGCCTATAGAACCACATTCCACTGTTTTGTGAGTGTACGGCTGAGTCAGCCGAGTTATTCGTTCACTAAATTACAGGAGAGCAGAAGACGCGATATTCTCCCGACGAACACATATCTTTTGGCCACTTTAAGGCAACTGCTACTTATATAGTCGTGACAAAGTCATTGACTGACAGTCGCGCCGGCAACAACAACTCGCGCATTTGCATAGAAATGCAATTGCCGTCTAACTTGCCCGAAAGAACAAACATTTCCAGAAGTCGTTGCCAAGTCCGCCCCACCCCACTCCACCATCTGGCCAAGTTCTTTGGCAAACGCACATAATTTTCGGCTTAGAAAGTTGTACGGCCCGTAAATTGTCGCATCGTGGTGGCCATGGCCCCAGCAAAATCGATTTCGTTTCCCATTCGACTGCCCAGAAACCGTTTAGCAGTTTATCCCGTGGCATGTGCGCTAGTTAGTATCTGCTGGCACCATCATTGGACCCATCGCTGGCGCATGGCTAATACGAGCATGTAGTTCGCATATCGGCAACGGCAACTTGTTAAATCATAAATTCCAGGCCACTAAGCCCCAGCAAATTGCTGTCTGCGGCGACAAATTCAGTAAGATGGTAGCGAAGCAGGAGGTGGGATGTGTTAATTAGTCTCAGTTCTCTGTGAAGAAGATATGTCTAGGCGCAGCGTTTAATTAAAACTTACCATTTATGCACTCGCAAGCACGCCTAGAAAGCTCTGTAAAATGCAGCAACAATTTAAGGTATAATTAACTCAACTGAACTCAATTTAGGAAGACCTTAAATAAAGCATGAATGACAAACATAAATTAAAGTTACATATGCTGTTATGAATATATATACATATATACATATGATATTCATAGTATCATGCCATTTCTGTTCCCTGTGGCAAAAATAATCATTTCAACTTTTGAAATGCTGCGAAAGGTCCCGTTACAAACAGTTCAAGTTCGTAGCCATATTCCCGAACAGTTTATGAAAATGGTTCAAAAATATAGAAAATCTCATTACCAACAAAAGTTTCGTCAGCAAGATCTACGAGTTGTAGATGTATTTTGTTTAATTTTTAAAATGCATTCACCTTTGCTATCTCACAAGCACCAATTGGAACATTTTTCTAACACAAACTCTACTTCCTAACTCAGTAAAGCCATTTTATCAGACTGTCAATAGTTAACTGTGTTCACCAAAAACTCTTCCCAACTGGTCACGCATCCATCCACCTTTCTTGTTTTGGGAGTTGGGATCTTTCAAAGCTGCTGAGGTCCCACCGATATAATAATGCTGCTGATCTTATACTATATTTCAAAATTTAGAAATTGCAAATAACGAATTTCACAAAATATGAAAAATTAATAGGAAATAGAAATTCCCACAACACACAAAACAAGCCGCCAGGATAAAAAATAAAAACTTCACTGATAAAAACTGTTTTCAATTAACAAAACAGCAGTTGCGAGCACTTTCGGAAACACTTAAAATGTTTTTTTATGGCGGTAAAAATATGAGAATATAACAATAAAAGTAGGACAATTAAAAAAAAAATTATTTCCTTTTTATAACAAACTATCGTTGATATTTTGTACAGTTTGTTTTTATGAAGAGAGATGTAACGTTAAAAAAATGCCTTACTAAATAAACCCACAATTCAACTGATTGGCTGGCTGGCTGACTTGCATTGACGGTAGAATCAATAAAATTACTCTTCACCTACATATAGACTGAAAAGCATTGTTTGATCTCTTCATAACAAATAAAGTGAGCGGATAAAGGAAGTAGAGTCAGCCAAAAGTTGTATAACTTGTACCCTGTAGGGTGAAAGGGTAGTTTAGTGCGAATCTATGTAAGACAGAGACGACAGACCATACAACGTATATATTCTTGATAAGGATGAGTTAATATAGAGACAGAAAATATAATTTTACTTGAAACAAATAATAACACTACACCTTGCTTGATAGTGTTTTTCTTCGTTTGGAAAAGGGAGATTCCCGCCATTCAATTCTTAGTTTAAGGCCAGCTCCAGCTTAACACAGTTTCTTGACACTCTAGTTATTCCGCTTGTTGCTCACCATTCACCATGTACTTGTATTGTTATGTATGTCTGGATTTATTATGGAGAACTAACTGATTGCCACATCAACAGTAAATGGAGTTCAGGGATCGGCACCAGCAGCGATACGCGCCACTAGACAGCTGTTAAATGTGCGGCCATAAATGTCTGAATACATAGGACTACCCAGTTTACAGGCTGAACTCTTGTTGGTGCCATGGGTTCTGACTGTCATTAGAGCCACCAACTGTCCAGCAGCTTAATCGCATCGCGACAATGGCCGAAACAGCAAACGGTCTGTGAAAACTGTCACAAAATCGCATTGGCATTGCCGATTTTGATTGTCGATTAAGCGCTGCGAGTGTTCCGCTCTTGCTGCTGTTGTTCCTGTTTTTGTTGTTGTTGTGGTACAACAATTTTGACATTCATTCGTTATTTCCGGGACGATAGGAGCCGCCATGTGCGGTGCCTGAACCTGTTCCGGTCGCCGGCTCCGCTCGCCCACAACATTTTTAGTTGTTTAAATTTTTCCCCCGTGGAGAGAACAGAAACAGCCGTGCTCCGTAGTGTCCAACATTTGACTTTTCAAATGGCCCCCGATTCGCAATCCACATTCAACACCACATTGACACAATGAGGCCAACAATTGTTGTCAGCCTCCTGGGGAGGCGAGTGGTGCCATGATTTTTTTAACAATTGAATTTTTAATAGCTGGAGGAAAAAAGCGCAAAACCAAACACTATTTATTCAACTTTTTACCTTCGTCGCTCTTGATTTATTCACATTCTGACATTGTCGTCTATCAATAAAATATGCAAATGACTTTAATATGCAAACTATTTTTCCCTCTTTTCGCAAATGGAACACATATCGCCCACTTTATTGTCTATATTTGCGAATGCATTAAACTGCATAGCAGATTTTGGACGTATGATTAAATTATTTGAGAGCTGAGCCTATTAAAATAAATTACATTAACCATACCCGACAACCCACAGAATATCGGTTGGAACAAGTTAATGAACTGAAGCATTGAAGATAGAGAGAACGTGAGAGAAGAAATATGGAGTTTATTTGTGTATTTTGATATTCCAGATATGTGCAAATGTAAATAAATATATAAGCTTGTTTAAATTAAGGTTTTTTAACATAAAGAAGGTGGAATATAAGTAGAACAGTAACTCTGAGTAACAGAAGTATCCAGATCATTGAAATCATAATCATTCTTTTGGATTTATTTTTCTAAACTATCATATTTTTAGACTAGTTTTTTCAGATCTCTTTAGTCTTCATCTTTGCAGACTGTTTTATCTTCAGATTATCATCTTTTCAGACTTTCTTTTCTTAAGACTCTGATATTGCCAGACAATCAACTTTTTAGTAACCAATGCCGTTCGAAATAAAATCAATATATTCGATTCAACTTCACCCTGTTATTTGAACTGGGCAGTCTATGCTTTTCAAATCATGGAAACGTCAGGGTACCCCGAAGTATTTTTAAATAGAGCTCATTCGTTCGTCTAGCTTGTAAGAAGAAAGTTCAATTATTAGGTTTAAGGAAAAAAGTTAAATTTTGTAAATAATTATTTTCTAAAAAAATAAGGAAAAACCTGTTCATGTCTGGCAATTTGTATTTCAAGGCCAAGTAGTAAGCAAATAGGAAGAAGTACGCGTTGGCTTATCGTTTCACTCAGCTCGTTGGAATAGTGGTCCGGAGTTGCATAATGATTCAGAACCATAGTAATATTGACGTCCCTCTATGTGGACACAAACGTAAGAAACTTCCACGCGTACACACACACACAGACGAGTTTTATTGCAAGGTGGGTGAGTATACTACGATTTAGGAGCAGAGTGAAGATATAATGTATTTTGTTTTACAATCGTTGCAGAATACAATACCACATATTGGTGCTTGTTCTCCTTTATGCACACATACCCGATAATTTCCCCGAACATTTCCCCAGGCATAGGTAAGAAGTGGAGTTGCTTTTTAAACAAATTCCGAAAACTTTTGTATTCTGTTTCCCCCACCAACAAGCAGCCGCCCAAGAAACCATCCAGAGTCTTTATTACACAAGAAGAGAGCATTTGAATTTTCCATCTTTCATCTCACAGCCACTGGTTTACTTCATGTTGCCTCATCAGATTAGACCGGGCTGGTCGAAGAGTCCAGAATATAATGAAATCGAAACACAAATAAACTTGACAAAGTTACACGAACTACACTAAACATAGTTACACTGAACATAATTACACTGATAAAATGAAATAAAAATGCAAAGAAATGACGATTTGTTTTATTTTAGTTACATTTGTAAAGAATTAATTGCTTGGATTTGACCAAAAAAAAACCTATAGTCGTATAACGTAAGACCAGACGTGCAAATATTTTCAAAAATATGTTATTACCAAGTAGGCATTGAAATTGTATTCGCAAGGAAGATATACTAATGAATTTTGACAAATTTGTGGGCATATTATTTGTCAGTCAGACAAAGTTGATTTGATCTTATGGACTAATATTTTCGCATCAGCAATCTACAGCTTACCACCCAAGCTGACGGAGGATACGGCGATGGAGATGTGTTCATTTATAATCAATTTGTATTTCTTCGGCAACTTTTTAGACAAGATAAATGGAAAGTTATTCCTTGTTAACCCAAAGAACAGAAAAGTTAAGTCAACGTAAGAGGGCAGAGAAGTCTGCATAACAAAAATTCAGCCTGTGGAATAAAACTACAGCAAGAAAAGCAGTCTTACGGATTGTAAATGCTGGAAGATATAGAGACAAAAGCCTGCTATAATTCTGGTGACAAATTGATAACTGATGATTTTTAGGGTTATCCACAAAAATGTGGACAGATGTAAAATTCGTTTTCTCAAAAATATTAATTAAAAATTGCTTAAATCTTGAATATTGGAATATTGAGAATATTGAATACAAACAAATGGAAATTTTTTCCAAACTTACGCTTCGTTTCTTTCACGGTATCAACAAACGACTAATCGAAGTAGCGATATTTCGATCTCGAAGGGCTATTAAAAGGCATTACGAGCAAATGAGAATGTAGACAGAAAACAGTGAGCTTTCAAGGTATCCTCTTGCAGCTTCCATAATGGTCCAACCTCAAACAAAATATAACATATGTATTTATGTGCAAAAGAATCAACAAAAATTAGTCAGACAACTTTTAGCATATGTTTTCATACATACTCGTAGAAACGGAATATATATGTATGTATATTCGAGTACATTCAAACATGTTCACATGTGTCTGAGCGTGTATGTATGTGTCAAGGAAGTAATCAATATACGTGAGTCTGCAACGGGGCCGACTGTGCGGCTGCGGGGCTGCTTTGATTTATGGGCTTTATTGAAAGACGGAATTACCAAAGTCGGCATCACAGCAATGGCTTTATCGTTGCCATAGCGAGCATTTCAGTTTGCGCGGCTCATTAAAGTTGATTGCGTTGGTTGCGTAGAAATGTGCCAAAGGCTCTACTATATAGTCGTGATTTAAATTGTTGGCGCACTCAGAGTTCTTTGCTTGCCTTTATCTTCCTCTGCTTGAGAAGGCAGGCAAACTTGAAACTTAAAGTGCATATTTGAATAATGACCGCCACACCAACAAACACAACAACAGGTTGGCCTCATCTGTCAGTCAGTTGCATTGCAAAAATTATGAAGAATATTCTTTTTAAAATGCCGTTGACACTTTAACTGAAAGCTGAAATACTTGCCTGCAGCATCAGATATGCAATATGGTAGACATATGTACACAAATGCAAATCCACACACACGTACACATATACATATACATATATATGTATGTACGTGCAATTGGTAGCAGTATGAATTTTCACACCTGCGCTGATGGGCAACAAAAAAAAAAGAAAAAAGAAAAACGAATCCTGCAATGAAAAGCAAGCGAGGTAGTAAGTGTGGGTGGAGCGGGAACGGTTAGTGGAAGGGGGAAGTAAAACGCTTGCAGCAGACATTCTGTCAGTCGGTCGTACAGTCGCGTACAGAGTCGAGCCAAAAGCTGTGGAAATTGCCAGGACGGATTTTCACAGATTTCATAAACCAAAATGCAAACAGTCGGCGTCATGTGTGTGTTGGTTCTGATATTTGTGTGTGGCGCTGGGTTGTCGGTCTGTGCGGTTGCTTCTGCATATGTTTGTGATGGATATTGTGGATAACCTGATTTTCAGTTCGCATTATGGTTCCCGAACTGCCATTCCCTTGCATTATTTAAATTAAAATTAGTCAAAGCATTCTGACACCAGAGCCAGAAACCAACACACCAAACATTTATGAAGCACAAACAAATGCGCTAGGCAAGTATAATAGTCTGTTTTAAAAATGTTGTTTTGCTTTTGGAAATGTGCATTCTACATAAAGAAACACAAATTGAATCTAAAAGTTGAATTCCTATAGCCATCATTTTATAATAAATCTTCGTCGTACAGCTTAATGGTTTCCCACAATAATTTAGGAGCAAAAAATTAGTTTAGTTTAGTGTTAAGTAAATTAGCTGTATATGAGAATTTTTTACTGATTACAACACTCCGATTTTTTTGTATTTTATGGATTAGCTTTATTATCAAGGTGTGCCTATTGTGCTTTTATATTCAATTCTCATTTAACCACAGGAGTTTCGAGAGTGTCGAAAACTGAACAAATATAAAATTAAATTAACAACTAAGTTGTCCCTTGCGAAGTCTCAAAACTGCCGCTTATATCACGAGTAAATCGAAATAGGTCGACGACTTCTTATATTCTCCTCTAGAAGACCTCCGCTTTACGTTACTCATAAGCTAACTCGCTTACAGTAGGGTTGCCAGCTAATCAAAAGAATTTCACCTTACGTATACTTACCATTTAACACATATGCCTTCATTTTTAAACGATTTTTACTATTCATCGATCTATTCTATACAATTTACAACGCAAATGGTTTCTTAATATATAATCATAAATATTTCAACTTTTAAAAGCTTCCCGGTTCAACCTGTTATAATTCCTCATCTCTGTATAAAAACAAGCTTGTGTGGCTTGTTTTGATCAAGATTTCCATACAAAATATATCCAGATAATATCCAGAAAAAGTTTATTGTTTTTAATGAAAACGATCTGGGAGAAAATATAACCTTGCCTCCTTTTAGGGCAGCACCTTTAAAAACAACTTGAAGCACAGACCACACTTGTCATTTCACTCCTCAGTTATGTGCACTTGCATGTACATTGAAATCAAATGTTACTTAACTTTAATGCTTTTATATTTCTTCAAATCCCATTATAGACATGTGGCTTTGAACAAATAGTTTGCAATGCTTGGAGCGTACATGGAACACCAATTAGGACAACAAAAGAAATTAGTTTGTTATGCAATTTGCAGTTTTTTCTTTTATGCAAATCTATGGAACAAACAAATGTTGTTTGCGTTATGCAATTATTTTAATACATAAATGCGTTGTCTGCCTGAAGGCTTGTTATGCTTTAAATATTTCATAATTTCAGCATTCAAGCCGAACGAACAAAAAATCGAGGAAATTGCATTAAAAATGCAAAGCTTATAATCAACAAGAATCAGCAGAGAATTCAAAAAGGTGTCCCTTGCCAAAACAACTCACAGTTAATATTTTAATGGAAATTTTGGCATAGAAACCAAACAACATTTGTTGTTCAAACCAAACCCGTTATTGATTTTCGCGCGTCCATCTCTCTATGTAGCACATACTATATATATATTTTATATGTATGTATATGTATAGAACTGTCAGAAGCAATTAGCGACACATTGTAACGCTTCCAATTGATATTCGACTAATGGCCATGTTATGTGATTGTCTGCTGTGGTTTTTCCAGCGAACTGTCAAAACTAGGCGCTCTAGCCCATTTGGAGCTATGTTGTAGCTTGTGGCTAACTAAAGTGAAGTTTTATTGAGACTAAGTGGCCATACTTTTGACCAAACAGTAGCAATTTGTTGGGTTAAGCAAGCTTCTTGCATTAGCAGCATTGATAAGCGCTTGTGGGCTAATGAATTCTTATTTCACAGACCATTGCTTTTTTTCAATGAGTGGAGATAGGTCAGGAACTGCAACACTTTCTACTAGTATAACCAGGCATTAGAGGTGGGCATGGGCCGAGTATGTATTTCATAGAAATGGATGACAAGTTAAGTAGCACTGTCGGCCAGGCAAATACTTAGTTGAGCGATGAATAGAGCTTCTCAGTTAATAATATTTCTGAATATTTGTAACGCTTTTAGTTTATATTAATACCGATTATCACCCAAATATATAGACTGATATTCTAAGTTTTTAGTTATAAGCTACAAATAGTTTGTTTATTAATTTATTTATTTATTTAATTTATTAATTTTATTTATTTATTCATGTTGAGCTCAATCACCAACAAGGGCACACTCTTTACTCTTCAGTTTAATAGAGCTACATTATTCTAAAAATAATACTTTTATAAATCATTTTGTAAAATGTGCTCTAACGTAGTAGACAAAGCCTTTCTATTCATTCATTCGTTTCCAACTTTTTCTCCTGTTTAGTTCACCCTAGTATGTAAGAAAAAAGTTACAATTTTGTAAAAAAGATATTAAACAAGAAAGGAATGCTAAAGTCGAGCAGGCTCAACTTTTAAATACCCTGTACCACCCCACAAAAAAGTAATTAAATTAATTAATTAATTTAATTAAATTAATTAACTAAATTAATTTAATTAATTAACTAAATATTAATTAATTAAATATAAAATATTCCATGCATGCATACATACATTTACAATTACATCAGAATTGTGTCTATGCGTGTTTGTGTACTTGTACATATGTATGTATGTGTGCATTGAGCCTGGTTATATGGCTATAACTTTCTTTCCGATCATTCTATCATAATGAGACTTGGTATACGGTTATATAATTACTAACCTAATGTGACTACCAAATTTTAGTTCAAAATTCCAAGAATTACGGGAGTTATAGAAAATCGTTAATAGGGGGGGAGTGGGGGGGTGGATCAGAAAAAATGAACAAACTCGTCCTTTCTCGGTCTCAGGAGAATCTGTATACCAAGTTTGGTTATTCTAGCTCTTATACTTTCGGAGATCCTTGCGTTCATACAGACAGACAGACGGACAGACAGACGGACAGACGGACAGACGGACATGGCTATATCAACTCGGCTTGTCATGCTGATCAAGAATATATATACTTTGTGGGGTCTACCAAGCCTCCTTCTGTGTGTTCCATGTGCACTCGCACTAAACTAATATACCCTTGTACCCTTTGGGTACAGGGTATAAAAATCGAAAAAAGAAGAAATATTTTCATAAATATGAAAGCAAACCTACTTCTGTAAGTCATCAAAATTATTAAAGAAAGATCAGACAAGCAAATAATATGCACATATTTTTTAAGGACAAGGAAGTTATTTGAAGTTAATTGAAATTCAACAAGCTTATGTGCCAATTATTTGCCAGTAAGACCATAGTTCAACTCAAGTACTGAAAATTCGTATGTCCCCCAGACTCTGCCTTTACCTAAAAACACTTTGCTTAACTGGCACTTGAACTTGGTGATCTCATCTCTTCAGTAAACACAACGTTAAAAAGATTTCAGTCAAGTAAGCAACAGCTAAAGGTATTTTATATGTACTTCTTTTTTATTATTAGTTCTTCAATAGGTAATGCATTAGGCACCTCCCCTCCTCAACATAACGAGCTTGAACTGTATGCGACAATCGAAATCGGATGTATAAAAACAAAAACATAAAATACCTAATTACACTGCATCTAATTACACTTAAAATGACTTACACTGCAAACAATGACACATAAAATAAACTAAAATGAAATAAAACTTGTTGCTTTATTTCATTCAGTCAATCCTAAGGGCGGTAAGGTAGTTGGTTGTATGTTAAAACAGAAAAGAGTTGTAAAATATTCGAGGTTTCAGTAGTATTGTAAATATTTGGTATTATATTTATGTTATAACTAAAATTTATTGAAATAGAAATTAAACATTTAACTTAACACTCTGATACACTATCAGATAAATACTACAAGATAGAAATTATACATTAAGTAACAACTACATTTTGTATGAGTTTTACAATCCAATAGTGGGTACCGGAAAATGGCTCATAACTATCAACAACGCTATAAATTCGAGTTAAGTTAAATTGTAACACTATCATTTATTGTCCAACTATAATTATGAGTTTCTTGCCACTTAGAGTGCGTTCAAAATGTCTACAGTTGGGTTTTCTTCAGAATTTAGCGATTTTCTTTAATTCTGCCAAATATACGCATTTTTGGAAACTTTGTGCATATGTCTCGGATATAATTAGATTTTCCTTTAGTATAATTGCCAGTCCATACAGTAGCTATGCTTACTGATTTCGTACTAATTTGAAATATAATTTAAAATTTTATCACATAATTTAATTCATGCTGTAAATTAAAGCTAACCTCTTGCAACAAATCTATTGGACTGTAAATATATGTGAACATTAATATAACATTAATTCAAATAAAATACATAATATTTCCAGCTTTGCTTTGGTTTTCTATATAAAAAAATCTCTCGCAATCCAGATAGACAGCCAAATATTCTATCATTACAACCAACACTAGAGCTAATTTCAAAGCATTCAGCCATATATGGTATTAACAATGCTTCACAGTGTGTTTTTTTTTTTTTTTCAAATAGCCGCCATAACAGCGGCACGCTTGTCTGGCTATCGCTGCCAGGTAATTGATAATTTCTTCTTTTCATTAACCAATTGCCCAAACCTCGCCTTACTTCAGCCAGCTTCCGAGGGTCCAGAAAGTTATTTCGTGCATACAAAACTGCTTCCCCCTCGCATTTTGTTGGCAATAATACAAGTGAAGTGTAGAATGGAGCTGGCACTGCCTACAAGCCGTCTAAGTAGCTTATTTCACGCCTAAAAGCAGACAGCAGCAGCTATTCATGTTAACTGTGCGCCACGGAAATTTAAGCATTCAAGACACGTTCGCATTATGCCAGAAAAGACAACAACAACAATAACAACAAAAGCAATGGGCAGAAATAATCGACTAGGCTGCTTGTATCTCTTTATTTTTATTACACGAAGGTCGCTGCTCTTTGCTTGACTGTCATTTTGTTTTAGCCTACACAATGCACACACACACACACACACATGCACAAACATCGCGTCTATGTACTTTTGGTGCACAGTGTAAACAATAATGTGAGAGGCCTCAAAGGCAAAGTCAGCCTGCGAGTCAACAAGATCTGACAGCAGACAAGACGCCAACGACGATGACGGCGAAGAAGAAAAAAAGAAGACTCAGAGCAGCAGTAGCTAAAAAAAAACTCTAGCATAACTTAGGGGGCGTTGCACAGTGAACCATTTTCGCATATTTTTGCAGCCTTTTGCAAGTTCAAATTCTTTCTCCCTACGCTTCCTGACTTTTCCAGTGCCCTCCAAATTTCAGATAACGCTATTGCAGACAAGTTTTAATATCGAACACAACAGTGTTATTTTTGTTGTGTCATTTACGCGTTAAAACTATAAATGGTAACTGTTAATAAAAATAAGGTAATGTTTATAGATAACAGTTTCATGTTATCTACTAAGCTTCTCAACGTTGTGAACAAATTATTTCCCAACGGGCTATGTAATAGTTTAGTCAGAAATAAAACTATTATACTAACAAATTGCCTCTTCGCAAAATATTTTTGAAAGTAATAACATTAACTATTTAAACTTAACAAAAACAACACAACGTATGGCTACTTTTGGGTTTGTTGAAATCTGGAATCATATTTTGAATTGAGTTCATGTGTCTTTGAAGATGCATTTCCTTTAATATACTTACAAATGTGTTGAAATAATTGAATCTATTAAGCAACACAAATGCCAGTTTATTTTATATTTGAAGAACCCTGTCATGCTTTGCTTAATACCATATGGATTAGCATGCTTGGTTCCATGTAAAAATGTCGGACAATAAACAATTTAGCTTAAAACACTTAAAAATATGTATATTAGAAATATTTTTAAAATAACTAAAAAATATATTAAAATTAACAATATCTGAATATCATAAACATATTAAAAGCCTATTTCAGAATTATACCTATTATTAAAAAATACTTGTACATATGTAAATATTAAAATCCCACATAGGTACAAATAAACACTGCCTTTTTTGAAACTTGAATGTGATAAGCAAGATTTGTAAAGCTTTTTAATAGAAAGAAACTTTAGAGAAACTTTTTATTATAAATTATGTAAATAAAGTTTCTTTCAATACTAGTATCGATGTTTCTTACTCTTTACCTGAAAGGCACAAGAGTATATAAGGATTGTAATAGGCAGAAGGATGCTAGGCAGACCCTACAAAGTATATATATTCTTGATATTCAACATGGCAACACGGGTTGATCAAGCCCTGTCTTATTACAATTTCATTAATTTTGTAAATTTCTATAATTATTGTAGAGTTTTTTCCACTTGTTGGAGTTCACATTAAAATGTAAACCTAATTTTATAAATAAATGATGTATATTTTTAATAAAACCTCTGACAAATTTTATTCGTCAATTCTCCAATTAGTTTGATTTTTTTTCCTACTCATAAAATGCTCATCCCAGATACTGTAAAAGCAACACACTGTGCGTGTGGAGACTCTACGATTATACTATATAAAATGCTATGAATATGTGTGTGATCTTAGGAGTGTATGTGTGTGTATGTGATTGTAAGCACATCATTATGTGGAAACAAAAGACTTGAAACTAAATTGCACTTTAAGTAACCATTAAATGTGGCGCATGTGGCGTATACGTAACGCGATGCCGAACAGCATGCAGCATAAGACTTCACTGCACCATGCATATACTAATTACTTATTTATGTCGCTTAAAAATACACATTCACTGACAGCCATCTATAGTACGTTGCATGTACTCCTCTGCTTCACAGCTCGCTGGTGGCGATACCTTCAAGTACACGTTGACATCGTCCTCAGCACTGCTTTGCAACGGCTTGGCTATTCATGTAAAAGATATGCTTCAATTTTTACTACCTGTGCTGGCTGACAAGTCTACAAGTATAGTACGAGTTTCCCTGAGTTTCTCGACAACTACTATAACTCAATCAGTCTTCAATTGACCGTGTAATGTGTGCCTTCCCCCCAATTACTTTTTGTTTGTTGTCTGACCCGTTTATCTGACGATTTCAACATACAAACTAAACTGCAAAGTTTTGCGCCAGTTACGTGAGCATTATACCTGAGTGGCAGTGAAGTAAGGTAAGGAAACCACGTTTGTTTTCTTTTAACATCGGCTGCTTTAAGCTCAGCTCAGCAATCAATTTATTTTAAATATTTAAAAGCAATGCCGCAGTGCATTCACAATTATTGAGCGATGGTGGCGAACAGGCAACTACGGAATAAACTGTAAATCAGTCAGTGTACTCCATAAAGCCATGATTTCGTCCTTTCAGTGACTTGAGTGCCTTCGAATTAAGGCTCGAACACTTGACAGTTAAAAGTAGGTAGGCAGGCACTCGCTATTCAATCATGCAATTAACATTAATTATCATACCTATATATACACATCCCCGTATTGTTGCACCTCAAAGGCTGTCCTTCACTCCACTTATTGACCACATGTCGTATACTTTATGCCTTTTTTCGCCTATCTGCGCACTTTGCGATGTGCATTGTCATGCTGCCATCAAAAATATTTCCCTCCTCGTTACGATATTGTCTCTGATTTCCCAACAGACCGCCTAAATGGCGGACTTGTTTCGTATGAGTCGTAATTATTGTGCAGGTATATTGGAGTCCAGTAGGAAAGAGTTGCATTCAAAGCAGAGAATATTACAATAGGTACATACTTGAACCATACAAAATAGTAAATAAATAACCATAATTAGAAACAACTACAACTTTCTCGCATTTTTGGAGGGAATTCACTACGCAACTGAGATAGTTGCGATGATCAAGACGAAAGGGACTCGACACAATAGGTCAATTGAAACTAAACTAGTTGAGCTTCTGAGCGAATAAAAAGGTGCTTAGAAGGCTATTGCGTAATAGTTAGTTATTTGTTAGAAACATTAACAATAATATAAACAATCTTTACTGCAATGATCGAGTCGATTTATCGAGGGATAGTTTGTAATTTTTATTATTAAGCCCACGTTAAGCGCAGTGTGTCTCCTTATTTCGAATTCCTTGCATAACCATCTAACTCTCTCACTCACTTTCTATTTGAGTTGATCTGAAAGGCAGTCAGTCACAAAAAACTTCCTCTGGACCAAGAACACAATGTGGCTCGGATCGAAAAAAGTGTTTCTAGGAGCCTAATCGGTTGCTTCTACTTGTTATGGACTCTTTGAGTAAGTGAAAATCTACTATCAAATGTGATTTTTTAAATATTTTTGACTTGTAAGGAGGAGAACCAAGTTTATATAGGAATTTGACAATATAGGCGATTGATAAATTGGATAACCATTCACTTTAAAATTTTGTTGAAAGTAAAGCCGTGCGTACAAAACCTATTTAAATAAATGAAAGTTTGCTTTTTGATTTCATTGATAAGAAGAAATGATAAATATTAAATAGGCACAGGATTAAGATAAACATTTTAATTTTTATCAGCTTCTACTTAATATGTATACTAAAAACAGTCGTAGGTCAATAAACTATATTAAAGTTAAGCATTCCTCACGTAATTGATGTTTTATTACTCCATTCTAACCAAGATTCAAAGGCAGATGTAGTCTTAATAAGTTCAAAACGTTTTGATCTTGCAATTTAGTATATCTCATTACATATATCTTCTGACATACCTGAGAATTTTGTTGGTCATATTCATAAAAAGTAATGCAGTGAATTGGGGAACCTTTTGACCAGACAATAAAAGAAAATGCATTCTACACTGAAGATATTCGCATCTTTTTCCACTTTCAAAAGGAAGCATTTCTTCTCAACCAAGAAAATTACTTTAGTTCCGAGATATTTTCAACTCCTAAAACCGCATGTAATTTATTTCAATTAACTATTTAATTATACCTTCGCACATAACATATATATAGTACGTTTTAATAAAAATATTTAATAACACATCTGTTACTCAATTAATCCTCAAGGTAAGCTTTAATTGTTTTAAACGTGACTGCCGACAAACAGCAAGCACACTATTTTATAACAAAATGACAGTTTTAATTACTTAACACGCGCATTTTTACATATTTTATATAAAAAATGGCATGCTGGTATACTCGTACGAATAGAAATCTAGCTTTTCGTTTTGGCTTTCACTTGTCAGTGAGTGTTTTAAAATAACGTACCTTTGCCGAGATGGCATTTTTTGCGGGTCGTGCGAATTCCTCATTCGCTTAAGATATGTTTGACTTCATGACTTCCTGATGACATAAATGTAGCATTTTTTTCAGTCCTTTCATTAAAGTCACACCTGTGCACAAAATTCGCAAAAGTCCCAGCTGGAGTCACGCAAGAAAAAAAAAACAAACAAACACAAATTCCTCTGTCTGGTGCGAGCTGTGTGCGCGGGTTCTCGGTTTGTTAGCTTCAAAGTCAATTAGTGTAATTAATTTGGTTTCCCGGGAATGCGTGCGCCATGCAAAGGTGGACCGAACAGTTCGGGTCCAGACCATTCGACCAGGTGACAGGCTGGCTGCCGCACAGCGTCCATTTATCAAAAAATGCACAAAAACGAAAACGAATAACTGTGCGATAAAAGAGGCAATCCCTTTACATTTGTCCCTTTTTTAATTTCAAAACATTGAAACCCACAAAAATGCCGCCAAAGCGTTGAAGTCAACGCTGATTGAGCTTTCGTTTGCCTCGTTTTAGGTCCCAGCTCTGTCACGCCTTTCCTTTTTGTGTGTCAACTATAGAGATGGGCGCGTGATTCGATTGTTGCGGTGCAGATAATACTAAACGAATATGTCTGAAAATCAGGCATTGCATTGCAATAAAACTAAAGCAATTTATATCAACGGCTATGTGGCACTCGGGACCATAAATCCATTTCAAGTTTTCAAAATTAAATGTATTTTGCAGAAAACAAAACATTTAAAAACAATATACAACAACTGAACACTCCGATTATTTATATTATGTTGAGACAAATCAGCAATAACAACTGCTGATGAGAGATTACATATCTGTTCTTTAATTAATAAAAAGTTCAAAGAATTACGGGAACAATTTTCAATCTCGTCCTTTTTCAGACTTAATAGAGTCTGGGTACCATTAATTATTCTATATTTTAAACTTTCTGAGATCGTTGCGGACAGCTGGCCAGACGGAGATAGTTATTTTGTCTTGTCATACTAATCAAGAATATATATAATTTGTGGGGTCTATGTGTTATATTTATTTTATATTATTATTTATGGCTCTTGAATAGCACAATGACGGCCTGACTTACAGGCTGTTTTAGATGCTATAACATATTATAATATTAATATATTATTAATGTACATGCCAATAATATATTACTGTATTTATTTATATTTAAATATATATAATCATGCAGAAAGGTCTTAATGCTATCACCCGCAGCTGCTGCTCGATCGTTTAAATACGAAGTTCTCCGCATTTAAGCCTCACTTGCTTATCAGTTAATGTGTTAATAAGGGAAACCACAAACAAAATCTAGAGATTTTACATAAATAGCGCCTTCTCACCGACATCAGCTCAGTCTATTTTATACCTTTCATCGAAATATCGAACATATCACAAGTAACAGTATTTCCAAAAATAAAATTGAAAAAATATATTTAGGTCCATTTAGAAGACACCATACACACACATATGGAGGACAATTCAACAAAATCAAGGTATTTATACCTACATTATATAAAGAAATAAACCAGGGTTTCGTATGTTTAAAGCAGCTTTACACCAGAGGTACTTTGAAATCCAAATGAAAGAAAAAGGTCTTTCGAATTTTGAGTGGCTATATTGTTTTCAATTTTGTTAACCACATTTGCAATACTTTAGAAAGTCTAATTTAACATAATGGTATTATTATAAATAACAAATTAACAAATTTGTTGTTCAAAATTTGATGAGAAATTTCTAGTGTTATAACTACAATCAGCTTTTAAGGATCATTTTTGTTTACATCAAATAGATTAAAACAGGAACTGGAACTCTTGAGCTCCCTTGCGATTGATTATATCGATGCCAGTAGTGATGCGAGCTTGCAAAAACTAAGCGAGTGGAGATTCTTAGCAAGGTGGTGGATAGCAATAACAGTCTCGAGCCATTCGATGTGGCCTGTGATGCTAAGCTGGCAGGAGCAGGCTGGACCGTCATCCTTCGCCGCTCAGGTGATAAGGTCAACTTCTATCGGAAATGGGCGCAGTATAAGCAAGGGTTCGGGGATCTAGGGAGCGACTTTTTTATCGGTTTAGATAAACTCCATGCAATAACAACATCGCAACCACATGAGCTTTATGTCCATCTGGAAGATTTCGATGGTGAGAGCCGATATGCCCTCTACGATGACTTTCAGATTAGCAACGAAGCGCAGGACTATGCCCTCGCAAAGTTGGGCAGCTACTCAGGTGATGCTGGAAATTCGCTAAGCGATCATTTACATTATGGATTTACAACGTACGACAACGACAATGATGGATGGGGCGATGGCAATTGTGCACAATGGGCCATGGGCGCCTATTGGTATAACAACTGTGGGCCTAGGTACGTAAAAATTGTTGATAAGATTTAATTTTCATTTACTCTACCTCTGGCTTCTCACAAACATGTCAACAGCAACCTCTATGGACCATATCTTCGTGGTAACGCCTTGGGCAGCTTTAAAGGTATATATTGGAATACTTGGCGTGGCTCTGAGAATTACTATTCACTTGTGCAATTAATGGTGAGACCCAGATTTTATTGCGTCCAACCAAAAAGCACATTGCACTGAATATTTCAATCTAGCATATGAATGAAGAAATCAATTGAAATGTCATGTATAATGCTTCTTACAACTAATCACTAAGCTTCGAGTACGAAATAAATTGGTATAATACGAACTTTACACTACTTAGTAAATCGACAAATTTATACTTTGTTAGGAAAATATTAGGAAGTGACATTTGCATCGAAATATTGCAATCTTTCCTATGCTTTAGTTTAGAATAGGATGTCGAGCACGAAACACGAATAAGTAAAATGTACACGCAAAATATAATAATAAATAAAATCACTGAAAAATAAAAAGCATACATGCGTTTCTATGCGTCTGTGTATGTGTGTGTGTACAGAGTAGAAATAACAACAATCGCTGCTGGCAGAGCATAGATTTTATGACTATAAATTTCCACACCACTGTCAAATGCGAACTAACAAAATATAAATGGCAACTTTGAGTAAAACTTTTAAGAAATTCGGTAGCTATGGAACATCACTAATAGGGAGAGAGGAGGGAATTGAGGGTGGATCAGAAAAGAGACACAAACTTGTCCATTCTATTCTATTCTATTCTATTCTATTCTATTCTATTCTATTCTATTCTATTCTATTTTTTAAATTTTATACATCAAATGTATATTAAAAAAATTTTAAAATACCTGTGAGTTACTTAAAAAGGTGTATTCAATTTCCAGCCCGAGTTAAAAAATGTTCGTAATAAATAAAGAACTAAATTCAAAACATAGTTTTTGTGTGTGATTCATTAAATGTTTTGAGCTCGAGCTGGAAAACACAATACATCTATTAAAACACCTTCTAAGTTGAACAACTGCTTTTGAGTAGGAAAACTAGAAAACCAACTTTTGAGTTGAACAACTTAATAAGAAAACCCTTTTTATTTCTATCGAATTAATTTATTTTGTTTTATCAAATCAAGAATAAAAAGCACAGGAAAAACCTTTTAAATTGAATTTTTTGAAAATAAAAACTCTCTCACGCCCTCATTCCTGATATTTGCACACTCTGAAATGATTTGTGGGCCTTTTTTTTTAATTTTGGCTTTGTGCTGTGTGGCTTTGTGTGACTTTAATCAAATATGCAATGCAGAAAGGCTGCTACCAGCCATCGGCATTTAACTCATTGTTGCCGGATGGATTTAAGGTGGTAGTGCAAACAGTGCGTATGCGTAATGTGTGCATCAGCATTACAAAGTCAAATTGATTTAATGGTAAGATGCTCGGCAATGGCCCGAGCTGTGGCTGCTGTTGGAAAAGACGACGACAGTCAAACACTTCAGTTGCCTCATTTTAATGGCCCTTTTCCAGCGAGTCATTCTGCCAGGTGGCACTTAGTACTTGCAACCACACTCAGGCGACTACCAATAAGTGGATTAGCTTTTTACTTGAGTGGCTTGGAGTGAGAGGCGGGGGGCTGCTGTTGGTATACCGCATGCGGTAAATAAGCCAAAGCGCTGATGACAAAGTCGACGCAGACGATGACGACACGCTTTTAACTGCTGCCAGTTGCACAATGAAGCTGCCGCCCGGTGAAGCCGACAGAGCCACCAGAATCGCCTGAGCCGCCGGCTTTAAGCCCCGTTAAGCGCCAAATGTGTCGCGGCTAATGTGTGTTTTATTGGATTTATTGTTTCACGCCAACTTAGCAGAACGTCAAACAAAAAGGCTAAGGCTGCCGCCATCGCCATCGCCACAGCCCCCACCGTCAACGTCAGAATCGCTTTTGTTGACGAGTTTCGTGGCTCCCAGCGGCCTTTGATTGAAAGCAAGTGGCGAGCTAAAATTAAAGTACAGACAATAGCTTCGGGTTTCCTCATTGTGGCAGACAACCATAGACAGGCAGACCGACAGGCGGACAAACAAATAAGTTGACACGCAGACAATGTCGGGCCATTTGAATTGCCCGACAGTCGTCTAAATTGCTTCCGTTACTGCAACTCAACTTTCTGCTTTCTGCATTCTGTTGAACTCTGCCTCATAAATTATGCAAATTTTAACAAGTCAACTCCAATCTGATGCATTTGACATTGCGCTTAGTGTGGCACTGTAAGCTAAGATGAGTTTAATTAAAATAGAGAACGAGAATAAGCTCATTATATATTTACAATTGATTTCTGAATCGCCTGAAGGCGAAACAGGCAGTGCCTAATTGAATTTGATTGCAAGTAGGAATGAAATACACGTGCGGAAATGGGGAAAAGTAAAGTCTTTATATAGTTAACAGAAGTAAAGTAGATGAAGAAACGAAGTATATATAAAGAATTACTTTTGCATCCATTCTCTTAACGAATTTAACGAATTAAGTTATACTTCCAAATTCAAACTACGAGTATGTGGAGAAATCCGAAAATAAAACCAAGAGCAAGCCCGACAATGAAATAATCTGTACCTAAACAAATTTCTGTGTAGTACTGAAAATTTTGAATTAAATTGTTTCGCTAATAATTGTACTTGGAACCGAATGATTTAGATGACAATCGTATGTTTGGTTTATGTCGATTCGTCTCTTCATGATGATTAAAAATACTACATAAATATACTTTATGCGGTTGGCGCTTCGTTCAACCTGTTACATATTTTTCACAAGCCTAATATACCCCATTACCCTACCGGTACAGGGTATAAGAAATTCGGATTGTTTAAAGTAATTTACTCATCTAATAAAAAGTAAGCGCAAACTCTTATAAATATGCATATGAAAGTTATCTTCAATTGTAAGTATTATAGATGCAAACGTCTTCTCCATCTTCCCTCCTGATCTTCAAATTCATAAATGGCTTATGATTGATCGAGATTCTGGTGTTGCGTCTTGCAATCCCTACATCAGACCTTTCCTTCAACTAATTGCTTTTGGATTTTGCTTTGCCTTTCGCCTTGCCCTTCGGCTGCTTCTCGCGAATTATTATTTTTCTGTGACGTTTCCCTTATTTCTGTTGCAACTAATTAGGCTTGAAGAACGACTAACAAGCAGAAGTTTTCAATGCATCGATTTTTTTCAGAATAATTTAAAAAGTATTTTCTTTATAAATCGTCATAAAATTCGTATACAATTTTACATTTGTAATGCAATTTATTTTTCTAATTTTCCACAAGGATACTTGTTATTCACAATAAAAATAAAACTGGCTCGTTGGCTAAGTCCAAATCTAAGATGACAAAATGAGAAATACATATTATAAGGATAAACTGTACATGAACTAACGAGTACATGTATAAATGAAATATTTTTTTAATAGTAGAAACCAGCATAGTTTTCAGAAAATTCACCATTCAAAAAGGTATAATTTTCAATTCAATACAATTTGTTGTCTTTATTTATTTCAATTTATCTCGTGATGCTAAAAACACAGTATAATACAAACACCAAACCTTTTCCGTTTAGACTTTAAGCCCCCCCTCTCTTTCCCCATCACTTCGAAAACATCGCTAATAGCTATTCTAAAGCATATTTCTATTTGCTCAACATTTAACATTAAAATTGCGCTTTTAGTTTTTTTAAAGACTTTGTTAGACCATGGTTACATGCAGCTTTCAATTAGGCGAATCAATCTTTGGCGTTATAACCCAAAAACTTTCATTTTAGTGATATTTAATTGGCATATTGCTTAATCATTACGAAATTGACATCATGCCACATTTTGGTGTGTTCGCTAATATTTGAACAGCCAACCATGGTGATAGCATCGTTGACCCCACAAATTTCCGCTTTTTAAAGCATTTTTGGTACTTTCTGACATCATCTAGCACCACACATTCGTAGCTGCGTTTGTTACATCATTGGCCATATATCAAGCTTGAACTCTTTATAGCTCTTCATTATGCAGCCTGCGCTGTAGTTAAATAGAAAGGAAGAGGAATTCAGCAACTAAATTGGCACACACATAAATATTTAATACCACAAAGCCGTTCTATCATTTAGCCTCAATCCATTTTATTCAGCCTGCCTGCCATTCTGAATGTTTGCCAATGCGACATGGCGAACTCAACAAAAATTAAGCATCTTAAAAATTTCATAATTTGTCTTGTCATTAAGTCGACGTTGGTTGTTGGGAGCCCCGGAAAGTTGTATGCAGAGCGCTGCACATTGCTGTCACTCGTAAATTTCAATGGCGGCACCGAGCCGCCGCCGAAACTGCTGCGCCGCGCCGCGCCATTCCCATGCCCCGTTGATCTGTTGCCAAGAGCCAGTCATTGGCTTTGGCACACGCTTAACCATTTCAGGATTTACTATGAAGCGAAAACGAACAGAAAAAATGGCCGTCATTGGGGCCAAAATTTATGCTCGTCTGAGATTTGAACATTTCCGACTATTTTCCTCTTCTTTTTCTGGAAACTAGAGTTGCAGTAAAATCGTGCTGGCGGTCTTGTTGGCGCCATCAAGGACGTCCAAGTGACTGAAAACTCAAATGACCGTTTTGACTCTTTCGAACTTGCTTATATTTATCTTTTTTTTATTTAAAAAGAATATGTTGCCAACGGATAGGAGGGAATCTCTATTTTAGAACACAGCAAAATAGGCTGATTGCACGATGAGTGTTGGAATTATTGTTTGAAAGAAATTATTTCTTGAAGAATTCCAAAGCGGATATTGCATTTTACGGACAATAATGCGAGAACTTAAGCAATGGAGAAAATATAATGGAAATGTAAATTAGCTAAAAGTAACAGAGCTGCCAATGTAAAATTAAAGCGACTTAATTTGAATTAAAATTTAATATTTCTAAACAGTATTACAGATATCACAATTTATGTTGACCGTTTTAAAATAATTTTGATTTAAAATTAAATAAATCATTAGTACATTTAATGGTCCACTACACACTATATAATATTCACATAAAATAAAAACTTAAACTACATCTTCTATTAATAATTTTACCAAATCCTTTAATATTAAACGGGAGCCGCCTTTACAAACATTTCTCTTCACTCATGATGATGGCATTCGGTATGTCAACAATTGTGCATTGTTTATGCAAATTGTTTGGCAATTTGTTCAAAATCTACTTATGGGCGGCAAATGCTGTACTTATTGAGTATTATTTTGTGAGGCTGCTGCCATTATAATTAGGCAAGCAGGCCACGGGCTTCATTAAGGCATCGAACCATGAACTTTTCAACTTGTTTTAAATGTCCCGAAAATTGTTGGAGCGCTTGAATTATGTAAGTTAATTTGCAGAACGCTGAAAAGGATGACAAGAAGTGCCGCACATACACACACACACACACACACACAGTCGAGCTACTGGTGCTCTGCTATTGCCGGTAACTGGCGGCAGTAATGCCAACAAGAGTTATTTCCCACAGACCGGAAGGGAAGTCGACATAAATTGCGGTTAGAAATTGCGTTGGCCGTGCGAATGTATGGGTGTGTGCTTTGACTTAGTCTGGCTTTGCTGCTTGGTAGTTGAACTGTTTTATTTAATACAAATGGCAGCGGAGTTACTTGTAGGCGACATTTGCCTTCAGAAATTCAGTTTGTTTACCTGCTGGCGACAACTCAGCTTCGTGTTTGCTGCTCTGCATGCGTCAATGCACAAATATAGGGCCTAGCATCGGAGCAGGACGAAGTTGAAGCTGCAGGATTGGCAATCGACGCCGGCATGTTTGACACTGTGGCTTTAATAGATTTACCTCCCTATTTATGGACTACAGTGGGAACGAGAAGTATGTAGGTAGTATTGATTGAACTGTTTGTCGACTCTTCCATTCTGACCTACTTTTCTGCTCACCATTTAAAACATAAAGACTTTTGAAAACTATTTTGTGGAGACCACAATTTTATTAAAATTGCTAAGAGCTGTTTTTTAAGTAGTTGTTTTTATCTAAACAGAGTTTTTAATTACTTCATTTAACCTTATTTAAATTAATAGATTTTTCAAGTAAAAATCTACACCAAATTACAGTTTAAAAACCGATTGATGAAAATTCATATGAAATTTTGAGTGGTAATATATTCATCTGTAATCCACTAAAGTTCCATACAAACGTATAATAAATATGTAATTCGAAAAATTCTGAATTCAACTTTACGCTAAATATAAATATTACATTGTTTTTAAATGCCATAGTAAGAAAATGTTTGCTAAATAAACGCACTATGTTTCAACATTAGTATATTTAATCACAAAACATACTAAATATAAAATCTACTTTTCCTCAAATTCTTAATCCATTAACCGAAACATAAGCATATACTTATACAAGAGCGACAATTGATAAATCGAGCAGAGTTTACATGTAACTTATGGCATTATATGAAACTTACAGAAGTTATGTTTCCAAAGCTGAACTATGTCAATATTTTGACAAATATATACCACAAATATAATATTTTTAATATTAAACAAATAAAATATTTGTAGCATTATATTACATTTTCCTTTTTTTATTATCTTAAACTAAACATGTAGTACTAATCTACATATTTTGTATGCATTTTTTGTATTTTGTATTTCAAATTTCAAATTGGGCACAGAAGATTCCACACCAATAGCTAATACTATTCGCTTACTAATTGATAATCTAACTTATTCCGCACCAACATTTAATCAACAAATATCGAGACTCATATTTTCTGATTAAACAGAACTGAACTGAGCTCCCCCGCCAGACGTGCTTAAATACCTTAACCGCAACTATGGTGCACATTCTAAACTCTTGCCACAGGCATTAATGGTGGAGGGTGGGGTTTAGGGGCAAGCAAGCAACTTGAGACGCGACCTCGTTAGTTGCCGACTGGCTGGACTTTTCAGGAGGCCAGGTATTGACAGGACGCAGAACTTCAATTTAGTGCCAACCAAAATAAACAGCGTTTCGTGCTCGCTGTAATAAACATAAATCAAGGCATTGCAAATAATTCAGTGGTCCTAAATAATTGATTTTGATTGCCCGACAACATAAGATGGAAATAACATGCAAAGGAAAGTATGTTTAACGTTAAAATTATACACGTAGATTAAAAAAAGAATGCAAGTTTGGAATGTTTTGCAATTGTTTTTAGATCCTTTTTTGCTAAGCTGTTGAGTTTTGTACTGGAAATACTACTAT